ACTAGTAATATTGAGAAACAATGAGAAGATGTGCAAAGAAAAAAATGTGATGAGACAGAGTTCTCGAGAATCAGGGTAGGGCACCACGACATGGGGTACTCAAAGAAAGTTGCCTGGAGGAGGTGACATTGGAGATGAGACTTGACTAATGAGTCAGGTTTGTGGGGATCTGGGGGATGGTGTTCCAGGCAGAGGGACAGTAAGTGCAAAGGCCCTACAGAGGGAACGAGATAGGCGCAGCCAAGGGCTAACGGCATCCACAAAGCCAGTGTGGCCAGAATGGAGTGCTGGGGAATTGCTAGGAGAGGTCAGTGAGGTGGGGCCTGGTGCACTATGGGGAGGGGAGTGCACGGCACCCCAGGCCCCCAACACTGTCAGACCCTCCTGGTCTAATGACACTTTTAAAAAAAGCAAGTATAGGCTGGGTGCGGTGGCTCACGCCTGTAATCCAAGCACTTTGGAAGCCAAGGCGGGTAGAACACCTAAGGTCGGGAGTTCAAGACCAGCCTGACCAACATGGTGAAACCTCTTTAAAAAAAAAAGCAAGCACATCTCTAGCCCTCACACCAACCAAGAGACACAGTCTGGGAGTGAGTTTGCGCCAAAGTCTAGGAGCGCCTGCCTGATGTCGCCCTCTCACCTTCTGCCAGGGAGTTATGGGCAAATTATTATTATTGACCTGATATTACTGGCTGACATTTATCCTCTTTCTATATTCTGCTGGGACAATGGCTGGTCAGCCTCTGCCTTGGGGAATCCCAGGGAAGGGCTGCCTCCCACCTCCACCTCACGGACGCAGATGGAACCAGGAGACTGCTTTGCACAGGCAAAGGGACAGTGTTTGTGCCATCTCAGTGTCCTGAAGCTCCTGCAGACCTCAGGATCTGGATCCTAGCCTCTGTCCACCAGGGAGGAAAGGAAGACCCCGCCTTCTCGAGAACTCTCACTCTCTGACAGAAGCCTAAGCCGACGGAGGGAGAGAAGAAGCCATTCCCGAGGCCCAGCTTGTGGGCAGAGGGTGACCACCCTGCTACCTACTGTACTCCGGGGGTGCCCTCTCTCTAATCCTTCCAGACTCTGGGAGTGTCATGCCTCCAGTGTTCATGAGATGTAGGCCAGGATGGAACCAATCTAGGGACTCCTTCTGTGCCCCCTCCAACTTCAAGCCCAAATCAGATGGGGACGAAGGCCAGCCCCCCTGAAGAAGTGGCTATCAGCTAAAGGCACCACCAGAGGAGGGTGTGTGGGCCAGGCGCACCTGTGCCAAGACTAAGATTGAGTGTATTTGGGAAGAGCAGAAGGAAACAGTGAGTATCTTTAACAACAATCGCAAAGTACAGTCTCTAAGAAACACACTACTTCCTTCTTTCTGTGTAGGTATTCATTGCTTGCTGGAGACCAGCAGTCAGAATGCGGCTGGGTCAAGGCATCCATCCTCAAAGGAGTCAGTTATGCTGGGAGAGCGTGGGTGGCCCAGAGCACCCCTGCCCATGGTGGCCTGGATGACCTCTCATGGGGCAGCAAAGTGGTCGATTGTTCATAACTGTGTTATGAACCTGAGTGTACAATTTCTACTGGACACAAGGTCCTTCCTCGTGTTCTCTGATCAATCCTCATTTGGGTCAGTGGAGGCTCAGAGAAGTAAAGTGATTTGCTCAAGGTCACACAGCCTGTGGATGGAAGCTGGTAGGGCAGTGCCTGCCAGGACCACAAGGTCTATTGAGGAATGGGGCTGGGAGAGCCCTTGGGGAAGGGAGTGGGTGCTGAGGCCGGTTCACTCACCTTTGTGACTCAGAAGGAGTGAGGGTCAGGATGCCACTCCCTAATAAACTGGGCCCAGCATCCTCCGGGCCTGTGCCTTGGGGTCTACTTGGAGGCTCCGGGGGCATCCCTTGGAGTCTTGAGCCAAGACCTGTGTCTGGGATGCAAAGGACTCAGGGAAACGTGGAAGGCCAAATGGGAGTTGGTGAAGTCTCTGGGGACAGCGGGCTCATGGCCAGGGTGGAAGAGACTGAGAGGGTTGTCCAGTTCAACCTGCCGGTTTTAGGGTCACATAGGACAGAGTGGGGGATAAGAGCATGAGTTCTGAGGCAGGCAGACCTGGACCTGAGTCCCGTGTGGCACTGGACAAATGGCTTCATCTCTCTGAGCCTTACCTTCCTCATCTGTAGAATGGGATGATCAGAGTCTACGGTGAGGAAGAAAGGAGGTGGTGGGTTCAGTCCATACGTGCCCACTAGTCCCTCCTCCTGTTATCAGTGCTGACAGCTGCTCTCATGACTACATAATTCGAGTAACAAAGCAGTACCAACTCAAGCTCCTTAGTCCTGGGAGTGGCTTCCTTCCATGGGACCAGTGAGTCTCAACTGGCTGTGATTTTGCCCCCACACCCCATGCCAGGGGACTGCTGGCACTGTCTGGAGACATTTTTGGTCTTCACAGTTTAGGGGTTGCTACTGTCATCTAGGGGACAGAGGTCAGAGATGCCACTAAATATCCCACTGCGACAAAGAAATGTTGAGCCCCAAATGCAACAGTACCGACACTGAGCACTCTGCACCAGGCCTGTGCTGTCCAGGACAGTGGCTGCCAGCATGGTGGCCAGTGAGCACCTGAGATGTGCTCAGTCTACGCTGATATGTGCTGAAGTGTAAAATGTGCACCGGAAGGCCAGGCGTGGTGGCTCATGCCTATAATCCCAGCACTTTAGGAGGCCGAGGTGGGTGGATCACTTGAGGCCAGGAGTTTGAGACCAGCCTGGCCAACACAGTGAAATGCTGTGTCTACTAAAAATACAAAAATTAGCCGGATGTGGTGGCAGGCACCTGTTGTCCCAGCTGCTTAGGAGACTGAGGCATGAGAATCACTTGAACCTGGGAGGCAGAGATTGCAGTGGGTTGCAGTGAGCTGAGATCACACTACTGCGCTACAGCCTGGGTAACAGAGCAAGACTCTGCCTCAAGAAAAAAAAAAAAAGTGCACTGGATTACAAAGACTTAGCATGAAAAATAAAAGAATGTAAACCATTTCATTAATAATTTTTATATTGATTGCATGTTGAAATAGTAATATTTTAAAATATTGGGTTAAACAAAATAAATGATTAAAATTATGCCTTTTTAAACTAAAAAATGTGGACTATTAGAACATTTAAAATGCAAATGTGGCTTTATTGTGGCTCACATTGGACTTTTTTGGACAGTACTGGTCTGGAGCGCACTGCCCCTCTCAATGGTGGTGGAGAATCTTAAGTGATGGTGGCGGTGAGGGTCTTTACGGTTGTTGAGAAAGAACAAGGGGGATGGTCACACTGCTGCCCCCTGCTGGAGGGAGCCTGAGACCACATCTGCCCCACTTTCTGCCCCCACCCCTGCCGGGCCTCTGCCTGAATAGAGTGAGGGCAGGGGCCTGAGCAGGACCCCTCCTTTGCTCCCCACCCCTGACTGGGGGTATCTTGCCAGCCTTTCAGGCTGCACCAACCATGCCCCAGCAAATAATCAGGTGGGTATGGTGACAGCTGAGGCTTAAAGACCTGCGCAGTCTGGCTCCATGCCAGACTCCCTAGCGGCGCCCAGTCCAGTGCTGGGGGTGGGGAAGGCAGGGGAGCTCTTCCAGCTCACTGGTGCCTGGACCATCCCCAACTGCTGTCTTGTCCTCAGAGACCACCCAGTCCACCTCTAAGGTTTACATGGGGGAGGCAGAGGTTGAGGCCAGGGGCGGAGGCCTGGAGTGAGTCCCTGGTCCTGGGTCTTGGTGGTATCAGCATGGCCAGTGCCTCTGCAGAGGTGGCAGGAGACTGGCCGGGCAGGTGGGAGGGCTGCCAGGGCTGTGTGGGGAGACACATGACGGGTTGGCGGGGGCCTGGGAGAGGCAGGGTGCTCCAGGTGTCAGGATGATTTGGGAGCAGTAAACCACGATGGTACCTCCGTGTGAGTTCCGTTTAAGGCAGAGAGGTTAGGGGGCCCACGTGGTGTCAGCACAGGGTCCCACCTCAGAGTCCTGCCTGCCCTCGGTCCCCAGCACTCACCCCTCCAACCCTAGCAATGGGGGGCGTTTTAAATGCTTGGAATGAGGGTGCGGATCAAACCCCAGCATGGCCCCACCCCTTCATTTACACCAGCAACACCTTTCCGAGGCCCCATCCCATGTACTCAGGGAGACAGATCATTGGACTCAGCTGCTTGCTGGGATTCGCGGGGAGTGGTAGGGCCCTATCCTACTTCCAGCTGTCTCAGAAATCCCGCACTCAAGCAAGTTCTTGGACAGAGAGAAGGGGAGGGAGCAGAATTCTAAATCAGGGTCCCTCTTCCAACAAAGTACGCCACTGTACACCCCAAGTCCCTGTCGTCAGCTCGGTGGAATATGGTCCCTCTGTGGTCTCAGAATGAAGTGAGGGAAAGGCATCTGGGGACACGGAGCTCAGGGCCAGTGCCTGGGGACAAGCAACCACCAGCAGCCCCCACAGGGCGAAATCGGAACCTGAGCAACCTCCAGGCCCAGATTCCGCCTCAGGGCAGCTCCCTTTGGGCCCTGCCCCAGTCCCCGGCAAGTCTCTGCGGGAGCTCCACCGAGCTGGGAGTGGGAAGCAAGAGAGGGGCTGGGCTGAGGTGGGTCGAGAGGAAGGGACGTGCAGAGGGGAAGTGAAAGGGGAGAGGGCGGCGGGGAAGCTGAAGGGGTGGGAGGTCCCCGGGAGGAGAACTGGAGAGGGCCAGACGGGGCGTCACGGGTGAAGGGGAGGGTCTGCGAAAGGGGTCGTGAGGGAGGTGGGGCTGAGGCTGTGTTAGGGGGTCTGGGAGAGTCTCAGGGTTTCAGGAAGGTGGACAAGAGGTTCGGGGCTTGGCAGGTTTCTGGATGAGGTTCTTAGGCTTTCTGGGCCCGGGGGCTTCGGGATGAGGGACGACTCGGGCTGGAGAAAGGCTGTCCACATCCCCAAGTCTGAGCGCATCTCAGGATTTCTGGGCGCGAGATCTCGGCCCGGGCGCCACCGTGGGCCGGCTCACCTGTAGACATCGGTCCAAAGGTAGGTGCCCAGCACGTACACCGCCTCCACGCGGCTCCCGTACTGCAGCCGCACGGTCCGCTCGCGCAGCATCCTCCCCGCCGCAGTGCCCGCGCTCGCTGGTCCGGGGCCGCCGGGGGCACCTGCAGCAGGTGCGCCTTCTCCAGCAGCCTGCGTCCCACAGCCCCGCGCGCGGCCTTATCCGAGAGCCGGTGGGTGGGGCGTGGGCGTGGCGGCCCGCCTCAGTCCTCTCTCAGTGGGCTGTGGGCCTGCTCGTCAAGTGTGGTCCCGCCCCCAATTCGTCCCGCCCCCCCCCCCCCCCCCCCCCCCCGCGGTCGCGGTGAAGTCCTCAAAGCCAGTTTGGTGCTTTCCGTGGTTGGTTTGCTCATTCGCACATTCAGCAAACCTAGGGTGGGCGCCCAGTTGTTGGGCGCCAGGACGCGGGGCCCTGACTCCCCTCCTGACGCCCCAGCGAAGTGGGGCAGAAAATGCCAATGCGGGAGCACAGAGAGTGCCCTAACCCAGCCTAGGGTCCTGGAAGCCTTTCCAGAGAAGAGGATGCCCGAGCCTTCTTAAAGGAGGCGTTTGCAGACTAAAGGCGAGGAGAGGAAGCCGCCTGTACAAAGCCGGGTGCAGCCCGATACCCCCAACCTCCCACCAGTCAGATGGACCTCCCCACAGGGAAAATGGGAAGCGGTGGGGGTGGGGAACCCGGCAGCTGACGGGACCAGGACGCCAAGCCAAGGCGTTGGAGGGTGGGAGATGGGACCTCAGCGAGCCGTGATTGGGTGTGCTGTGAAATGGGTCGCTCTGGCTGCCCCCGCTGCTCCTGGACAGGAGGCTGGGCTCGGGAGGAGAAAGGAAGACCCTGGCTGTGGCTAGGGCTGGAGGAGCGGGGATTGATTTGGCCACTGCTTATGGGCTGGGAGTTTAGTGGCACCTGGTGACTGACAGGATGTGTGGGTTGAGGGAGAGGGGCGGGTAAGGATTAGGACCCCAGTTCTGGCCTGGGCCACCAAGGGAAGGGGTGTGCTACACAGAGTGACAGGTGCAGGGTGACAATCGGTGTGGGCCTGAGCCAGCCCCACCTGCATCCCAGCCCTTCCTCTCTGACCCAAGCCAAGCGCTGTTCAGACACCTATGTCACCCCTGTAATCTTTGGTAGGTGAGGGCAAAAACTAAGGGGGGGGTGGCAGAGGCCGTGGAAGGGAAGGAGTGGGGTGGAAGGGATGCGTGTTTGAGAAGGGGGTTAGAGCTGATGGAAGCTGGACCTGCAGGAAGGGGTGACCCCGGACAAGAAGTGTGAGGCCCACAGGTGCCCAGTGCTGACACACCCAGCCCCTGGACTCCGACTTCTCCCAGAGGTGGCCCAAATTAGGAGGTGGTGAAGAGCCCAGCTGCTTCTGAGTGTCAGGGATTTGGGAGGAATGTGGGTGGAGAAGAGGGAAGGCCCAAGTTTTAGCCAGAAGGTATTTGTCCCCTAACGGCACAGCTCACAGACCCAGGGAGAGACCAGTAACTTTTTTTTTAAGTTTCTCTCTTTGCCCAGGCTGGAGTGCAATGGCACCATCTCAACTCACTGCAACCTCTGCCTCCCAGGTTTAATGATTCTCCTGCCTCAGCCTCCCAAGTAGCTGGGATTACAGGCATGCACCACCACACCTGGCTAATTTCGTATTTTTAGTCCAGACAGTGTTTCACCATGTTGACTAGGCTGGTTTTGAACTCCTGACCTCAGATGATCCACCCGCTTTGGCCTCCCAAAGTGCTGGGATTACAGGAGTGAGCCACCATGCCCGGCAGAGGCCAGTAACTTCTGATGGGCTCCTCGCACCTGGCCGAGCCCATCTTCCATCAGGAGGAATCTCGCGGGTGGCCACCTGACAAACTGGGACAAAATGTGTGGTTTGGAGAGACTTCGAGGTGCCCCCAGAGGTGGGCTCGTGTCTGGGCATCCCTCTGCCCTGAGTCACTTTGGAGCCCTTACTGTGTGGCAGATAATGGGCACCCACTGGGGTTCTCGCTTTCCTGGGGCTCTACCATTCATTTCACCCATGAGGAGACTGGGCCAAAGTTGGGGAGGACACTGTGCCCCACGATGACAGAGGCCTGGGGCAGCTCACGACAGGATGTTGGGCAGGGTAGTGATAACATGGGGCCGTGATGCCCAGGGAAGCAGGAATAAGGTCGGGCACTTACTGCGTTCTTTCTGTGGGTCAGGCCCTGTTCCAAGTAGCACTTTTCGTGTATTAGAATTAGATCACTGAACCCTCCCAGGAACTCCGCCGCTTTACAGATGAAGACAGCGGGCTCTGAGGAGGTGGGGGGATTGACTTTGGGTTGCAAAGCTCCTAAGAGTAGCAGAGGGAGGAACTTGCAGGGCCACTGGGGAAGCAAGGGCAAGGCTGGGTGAGGGCAGGAGCGGAAAGCTGTCTGCTTTGTAGATGAGGGAGTTGCACTCTGCTTTGGTTCAGCCTCAAGCCCATGTGCCTTGCCATTCAGAGTCCCATTTTCTGCTTCTGAAGTAACTGATCCCCCAGCACAGCATAAGGACGGTTTCAAATGAGACAATAAGATGTGGAAAACACTGGCACAGAGCCGGGCACAAGGCTGAAGAAATGAAGCCCCCTCCCCTTAGAAACCCAGCTGAGACCTGGCCACCCACCCTCAGGGCTCCTGCCCTGGCTCAGGCCATCTATTGGACCCAGAGCCTGGTTGATGGGCCAGGAGTTTCCTAGTGCCCAGAGGTTTAAAATAGCTGAAGTGGTCACAGCTGTTGGTGGATTCAGGGCCGGAGGTCTCATGCATCACGGCTGCTCCCACCGCTCCCCTGGGGTCCGGAAGAGCCACAGAGCATCTCACGGGGCCTTTTGGGGGCTTAGCTCAGGCCAGTCCCTGGCACCCACCCGTACCCACCCCTCCAACACCCGCCCCCTGCCAAGCCTGCGGGCAGAGTGCCTGGGCTGGGAGGGGCCCTTTTGAGCAGTTTTCTGTTTTGTTCCTTTACTGGGCATGGGGGTCTCTGTGCCAGGCCGTGCGGGAATCTGGGAGACCACTCAAACATCGACAGGCCTGCTTTGCCAAGGGCTCACCAAGGGCACCGTACATGCAAGAATTTAAAAAGAAAAAATATATGCAACAGTATTACCTGGTCATTGTGGAAAAGCTAAAAAAATCTGATCACCTGTGACCCTAGTTCCAGAGATCAGTGGGAATCTCTGTGAGTATGATCTGGCCGGGCTGCCCAGAGGCGGATCGACACTGTTGTGGGTGAGGACATTTCCTGAGCCCTGTGCCATGCCAGGAGCCGTTCTGAGAGCTTCACACGTCTCAGCCCATTTAATCCTCGCTGCAGCCCTGTGAAGTGGGAGCTATTATTATCTTCAATTTGCACAGAGACACCAACCACCCTGGCAGTGAAGATGGTGGCCTTTGGTCTTGGTGGACCTGGGGTCAAGTCTGGTTCTGCCCCTCACTAGCTGGGGGCCTCTCTGGGCCTGTTTCTTCTTCTGTAAAGAAGATACTAGGAATTGTTTTAAGGAACAAGATGATACCCAGTAAACAATTCTGCACATCGTGGCCTGGCACAGACCCAAGCTCCAATAGACAGTAGTTATTTTCTATGCATATGTAGTTATTTTAAGTTTTCGTAAGCAGGGGCTTCTGACTACATGCTGTTTTATAACATACCTCAACGCTTCTATAATGTGAGAGGCTGGGCTGGCTGCGGCCAGGTCACACAGAGCCTTGTAAGTCGTGGACAAGGCTTTTGGGCTTTATTTTTATGGGGTCATGGGGAAGCCTGGGAAGGACTTTGGAAGGTGTCAATGGCACGATGTGTGCTTTAGGAGAATCACTCTGGCTGCTGTGGGCAGCCAAATTCGACAGGAATTCTGGCAGGAGACCAGAGAAAGGAGGGGGTCGGGGTCTGGGTCATAGATCCCCAAAGCACCCCTTCTGTGCCTAGGGACCTCGCCAACCCCTGGCTCTGCACCGTGGGGGCCTGCAGGCGTACCCTCAAGAGCAGATCCCCATAACCCTGGCCCTGCCTGGCAACCTCATAGTCCTTTTCCCTGACAAAGCCCACCCTTTGGTCCCACTCCCTTGAGAGCAATCTCTGGATGGGCGCGTTGATTCAATCTCTGCCTCAGCTCTCAATCCTGAGAGACACGGCGCTCGGAGGCAGGGAAGGGCTGGGGTGTTCCATTGTTATAATGCTGCGTGAGTTCAGAACGAGGACATCATGTGTGTCCTGTGCACTGCTGCAGCTGCGTCCCCTTGGAGGACATTTATACATGCAGAGAGAGAGGTTTATTTTAAGAAATTAGCTCGCATGATTGTGGGGGCTGGCAAGTCTGAAATTTGTTAATCTGGCCAGTCAGAAATGAGGGAATAATTAATGTCGTGGTTTTTTTTTTTTTTAAATTTGAGATGGAATGTGGGAAACATTCCCATGTGAGACCCCCCAAAAGGCGTGGGTCTCACTATACGGTGAGCTTGATCCCAACCACAGTTTCCTACTGGAGGCAGTCGAGCTATCCGGAAGAAGGAACTGAAAGATGGATGATCAGTTTCTAATATCAACCACGATATCGTTTGGGCCTAAAGTATGCGGTGCTGCTAGATCGAGTGACTCCCTACCAGCAACCAGTTTCTGCTTTTAACTTTTAATAGCTTTAACCTTTTCTTTATTTGCATGACTGCCTTGTACCCTAGATAATGGTTTAACTGTGGGGATATTTGCAAATGCCACTATACGGATGGCTTTGATCCCAGACTCAGAGACTCCTGAATGGAGGAGTTGAGATAAGTTGAGTCAGGAGCAGACAAAGGAGAATCTGGTTAAAAGATATTCTGATGAGCAAAACCAGAAAACCTTTTCACATGTGAGTCCTAAAACAAGATCAAATCAGAAATACCTGCAGCCGTGAAGAATAATGTCGGGATGTAAATAAGCTTTGTGATCACAGGAAATTCTATTACTTTTTACAACCACTGATTGCGTATCTGACTTCTCTACTGTATAGGCCATGTAAGGTATAGATCTGCCTTTCCTCTTGCAATGACATAAACCAGAGCAAAGAAAGTGTATTTATTTCTGGCCTTTGAAAAATAAAGGCTGCTGTTTAGGCACGGCCTATCCAGCCCTCCAGACCCCCACTTTCTCTGTCTCTCTTTATTTCTTCAAGTGCACGCTCTCT